ATTCAAAGTCATCATTAATCTCTTCATCTTCTTGATGTGTGTGACTCAATCGGTATCTCGTAGGCGTCGAAGGAGACGAAGCTGTAGTAATGTGGATTGCGTTGTCAATCCCTGGTCGTCTTGGTCTCCTTGCAGTGCTAAGCGATGTGGACAGCCTGGGACTCAAGAAAGGCGTCGCACGGTACAGCTGCCACCGATGTGTGGCGGAAAAACGTGTCCACTGCTAGTCGACATCGTCCCATGCCAAGGGAATACACCAGCTGACTGTCAACTTTCATCTTGGTCATCCTGGGGTATATGTTCTCTTTCGTGTGAAGGGACTCAGACAAGCTCAAGATACGTGGTAACAAACGAGCAATGTGGCGGGGTGCCATGTAATTCCACGTTGAGCAAGATTAGAGCCTGTAAAGTAGCGCGATGTTTCAACCAAGGTACTCTAGTTGATGGGCACTGTTCCTGTTTGTCGGGTTATTATGGAGGCTGCTGTGAGCATAATAGTAAGTACACATACATATGACCCAGTTTTGGAAGTTGGTCTAAACATGAGAATCGAAATGACATCAATTTTCCGATTTATTTGCTCATACTCTTTGGATCCTATTTCTAAGTTCAAATGTGGCCAATGAGCATAACTATTCGTAAGTTGCAGGGTATCTATCATCGAAACGTCTATCTTTCGAATGCTCCAAATTTTAATACACACTCAAACCATTGCGGGTTTTTGAGAGCCAAACAGTCGTTCTAATAAATTTTAGTCTTGGTACGAGTTCGTCGATTCTTAATTAAGTGGTGTTGCCTTGAATTGCTTCATGCTCATCGCTTCGTGTATCGCGACTTTTTGCATTTCCTAAATCCTCGATAGAATACTTCTTTCTCTTGAGCTTATTGGCGATCCTTTTATAGATTAGATACTCCCGAGGTGTGTTCAATTGATATCAAATGATGTTTTATTCCTTTCACGACTGTCACTCAGATGTATTGGCAGCTTTCCGTCAAATATGTGCCTTTGAGGGCAAAATCTAAAACCAATTAAAGGGTGCGTCGTATTCGGTGCAAAATATCAGAACTGCAAAGCCATTTTTTAAGCGTTATCTCGTCATTTCTACGTTGTTAAGTATGAACCTTGATAAATCAATGCACTTATTGGGAAGAATTATGTTCCTGCTCTCATTTCCTGTTCTCTACAGGTGGTCTCAGGTGATTCCAACTTTTACTACCTACGTTCGAATTCCCTAAATTTTATCACGCGCCCAAAACATTGCGTGTTTTTGAGAAGAGGGCAGTCGTTTTATTGAACTTTTTAGCCTCGATGCGAGCTCGACGATTCTTAACTGAGTGGCATTGCTTCATGCTCTGATCCCTTCGTGTATCCTCAACAAAATAAAGAAGAGACTGGTGACGTTTTGCGATGCCGAAAACCTCGATAGAATGCTTCTTCCCTTGAGATAATTAAAAGATACTTTCATGGAACTATGATCTGCCGCGACCTTTTGACCCTTAAGCGAAAAAAACCTATCCAATCTCGATTCAGTCTTAAACAAATTCAATTTTCTCACGACTCCCAGTCACATGTGACAGCTTTTCAACAAAAGTGCTTCCGCTCGCAAAATTTATTTAACAAGCCGGCGCGTCGTGTCGAAGGCAAATCTTAGAAGCTGCAAAACTGTTTTTTAAAACGTTCTCTCATCGTTTTTTCCTGGCAAGGTATCAACCCTGTTAGAAGAATGCACTTATTGGGAAGAATTCTGTTTCTGCTTTCATTTCCTGTTCTTACGCAATGTTCGAATCCTTGCGTCTCGTATGGAGTTTTAAGAAATCGTTTTCGAAGTACAAATTATCAGATAAAGAGAGGAGATCCTGCACTCTGTGACAACACTCTGAAAATTGGATGGTATCGATTCCTTGGAGGTAGCATGCCGGAAAGCAAAATAGACCCATATCACTGTGGCACTGTTGCTCCGATATGGATGCGTGGTGTGCATCCAACGGTAGCGGATGGCATTGTGAACCGTGACGCCTGCGTCAATTTCCGTGGGAGACGTAATGGCTGCTTCATAGCCATTCCAATACGAGTGAAAAGGTGTTCAGGATTCTATGTCTATTATCTCAAACCAGCAAGTGGATGTTATATGGCCTATTGCGCTGGTATGTTATCAAGAGCCACTTACAATAAGTATCGAGCGTCTGCCGAAAGTTGCAAAATTCGCAATT